TCAGGTCTGCCACTCAGCCCACTAACGGAGCCCCTTTTTCCACCCACACTGAACAAGCCGTAAGCTTTCCAAACTTGTCTGCAGAGCTTAATCCTAAATTCAGCTCGTTGTCCTATAAGAGACAAGACATGAAACAAATACCAATGCTTAAGAGTTCTCATGATATCTCAAAGCAGGTGAAGACCATTATTGTCAGATTCCTAGCATGCAACAAGGCTGATGGGGAGCACTGAAAGATACGGGGCAACAAGAGACCAAATTCACATGCAGGGGCAGTCCAGGAGGGTACAGTGAATTCAGAGGAGCAGCAAACTTCTACACTGGCTTTCCAGACCGGTTGGGGAGGACTGGTGTTAGAGGACCTAAGGGTAATCCCAAGATTACCCTTCAATACACTCACAGGGAGCAAATGTCACTTTGCATGGTGAAGCATGCCAGCCAGGGAGCATGCTTTATATTTCACGTTAATGAGTATGAGGAACACAACTTCCTTCCTCTCCCTATTTTTGATATAATTAAGCACTAGAATGAGCATTTTGTTTCAGTCTGCAACAGCAACAGACCACAGCGCTGCAGAATAACAGGAAAGGGAGAGAATGAAGAACAAACACCCCAGCCAGGTGGCAGACACTTACTGCTCCGGCCACTGCACAAAATGAAGGCTTGAGTGCACATTTTTGCCCGATTGCATAGCTGTCTCTGCTCCCCATCTAATCTGCTTAGAAAACTGGTTTTGAAGGATATGGTTCAGACATACCACTCACGCTTGGGGGGGGGGGGGGTGGAGATTGTGTGTGATGAGGGGGAAAAAAAGTGCTGCAGCTGCAAAAGATAAAATAGAGACAACTAATTTTCTCAGAGGTTGCAACACAACCTCTCCCCCTCCTCCACAAGCAGTCACTGCACTGGCAGGATAAGCTGGAGATTCTCCAGCGTAAGCAGGAAGGCACAATAAGGTGTGCAGGCCCTTCTCCACCCCGATACCCACAGCCCTTGGGGGTACCACAGAGAGCAGAGGCTGACAGCCCAGCCACTCAAAGGGAGGTGGTGACATTCCTCCGCCTGCTCACTTCAATTGCATTACCATTTTCAGAGGGGGACTTGAGAAACACACAGCGCTAGATGTTATACCGAGACAACGAAGAGCACAAGGGAGTTGCAGAGACTCCTGCTGTACCAATTGGTGGCTGGGTTCTGAACTCCCATTGTGTGATCCGATTTCTCGTGTCATCCAAGCCACTTTTGCAAACTCCAAGCATACGTCCATTTACGCCATGTGTCCTGATATCTAAACAGCTGAAGGGGACAGGAGGGGTAGGGAGAGAGAGGAACCACTGGATTTCTGGTGACAGTGTCTAAAATACACATTTGCACAAGGAAGTCTCACTTCAGATAGTCACTTAGCAGAACAACTACAGCTGCTGACAGGCAAGAGGTACAGTTTCAAGTGACCATCAGACATAAAATAGGCCAAATAAATTATTGCAGTCTAAAGGGAGCGAGTGGGTGTGCTCGCACAAATGTAACAGAGATAAATGTAAATGTAACAGTAAATGGATTACCAGTGGGTGACCCAATGTCAAAGATTAGCAGACCCAGGTCTCATTTCAGTTACACCGTACCAATGACATTACCTAAGATGTAGCAGAAGCGAAACTGAAATCAGAGTCCAACCCAGGATGTCAGGGAGGCAGCTGCTTCAGTATTTTAATGCCTAGAATTTCAGCCCAGTTTGGTTTGTTTCAGGAGTCTAAGCTGTCTTTGGTAGAAGGGCTAGTAGCCTTTGCCAGCTGCCATGTGATCCACAAGGATGTTTTCTAATGGAATTGGGTTATTTTGTGAGGTGGGAGTTGTTTGTGATGAAGGCAGACAGCACAGGTATACTGTCACTTTTTGTCCCTTTCCTCAGTTATCTTTTATTTCTGTTCCCTGCCCACACACTTTCCCTCTCCCCTGTGCTCCCCTACACATAGCCCCATCTGTTCTTTGGAAGTACCAACAATGCCAGTCATGGTCTCTGTGGGGTTTGAGGAGACCCCACTTACTTTAGTAAGTGGGTCAGATAGTGCTTACTCTCTGACTGAAGTAAAATACAAGGGTTTGTAAAATATGTACATAAATAATTTGCAAGCCTTCCAACTATTAATTGCTGATGGAAATTAAACATCTGCTAACAATAAACTCCCCATACAAATGAGAAGATAGTTTCAGTCTGACTAAAATGCTTTCCCTTCCCAATTGCTAAGAAAACCATTTTCTTGTCTTTTACAATGGCAATTTCATTAGTTCTGCAATTATCAAAACATTTCAGTCCTTTCTCTTTTGTGACAGAAAGGAAAAGCTCCAGTTCCCACTCCAGCTCTGCTGTCAGGGTACTGCAAAACCAACTGAGAAACTGTCAATTATAAGCACCCATGAAAAGTTCTTGGGGCAGAGACTATGTGGGTTGCAGAGTCCACCTGCACACCTTCTCTCCCCATCTCGTCCACAGTCCTCTAGAAGTCTTCCATATTTACAAGCATTATACTACAGGCTATATATGACTGTGGCAACTAGGTGCTGCAAGTGCAAAGAGGAGCTGAAATGCTGATATTGCGAGAATGCTTAGAATAGCTGATGCCAGGGGGAGAGAAGGGGGCCACCAGCTGAATTCGCATCACACAGGGAAATAAGGCGGTTGGGTAAAAGCCCCCATATGGCTGCTAGGGAACATGGAGTTAAAGGGCTTTCACTGCTTGGAGAACTGCAGATCTCCTCCAGCTGCTCATCTCACTCTGTGTGTAACTTAGTGCAGAAACATAAAGAAGAATTCCAAAAGCCCACAGTATTTTATTATACAGGAAAAGCATCTAGTCCTTTGCATGAATATGTTTTTCTGCATTCAAGAATCTCAAAGCACTTAGCTGCAGTACTTGCCTTCTATCAACTTAAGGGATGAAAGGCCAGGTCTAGCTCCCTCAAGGTCAAATAGCAAGTTCAGCAGCAAAAGATGACTAGGACTCAGTTACATCCAAATCCCATTCAACTATTCTACCCATTAGATTGGAGAGACATTAAACAGCCTCATAGCATCAAGAATGACTAATGCTCTCCAGTTCAGCCTGTGATAGAGAACTGGGAACTTGCACATCTCCTTCCTCTGCCTCCCACTCCTCTATTACCATTCCCATATCGTTCCAAACCCCACATGATGAGATTTTCCTAATCAGCAATTAAATAGTTAATGCTTACATTACAGCAGATGGAACAGGAGTTGCTGCAGGGAAGGTATGCAGAGGGAAGGAGAAAAGAGAGAAAGGAGGAAAAAGCAGGCAGAGAAACAAACCTAAAGGAAAGCATTTTCCCACTAAAAGGAGTGATTAGTTGACTAGACAACCTAACCCTTAAGACTTTGTCTAGACTAGGATAAAATGCTATATTGTTGAAGGTGTTTCAGAGGCATACTGTAGGTAAGGCTCACAGCTTCTGAGCATGCGGTAGCCAAGGTAAAGACTAATTAGGACATGTTCACCAACACATCTTAATGCTCCACTTTTAAATCCTTGCCTAAGAACTCAAGGCTATGCAAAGCAAAGGTCTGATGCTGTCCTAATGATTATAAAAGCAAAGCTATGACACACTGCAAAGAAATCAGAGTGTCGAGGAATCGCCCGGGTCTCACCTCCAGCATTTTTCATACGCTCATTGAATGCTTATGAACATTTGCATCTTAAAATATTCACCAGCCTCTTACTGAACAACCTGCTATGACATTTTTCCTCTAAAAATCTAATCAAAGCTCCAAATGCCAATAGGCAAAGAGACTACAGGCTAACAGCCTACACTCTTGTGAAACTTCTCCTTTTGCTCCAGTGTTTGCTCAGGCAAATTTGGAAAGGAGGGGGTAAGGGGAAAAAGAAGAAAGGACTAGGAAAAGTGTGCCCAGGGCCTTAGCAACACCATCATTTCGATAATCTATTGCCAGATTTGTAATTAAAATCTGAGTCCCACCTCACTAGGGCAGCCAGATGCATCCACAGAGAACTTACTGAGAGGGTTGTTACAATAAATACCAGGAGAATTACGAATGTTGCAGCTTCTTCTTAACCCTTCCAGCAATATTTCAGGAACCGCCTGTCAGTTTGAAAGACTGATCGTTTTTCTCTCAGCTTCTTGCAGGCTCTAGGTGTGCCCCTAACCAAATAGGCTTACCACTTAAAAGCTTAATTGCACCTGTGGCTTAAACCTTATCCCAGACAGCACTGGGGAGCATTTGGATTTGGGCGTTTCAGGTGTGGGACTGGGGCCTGTGCTCACAAACAGAGCTAGGCAAGTCAGAATAGAAGCCCCTAGTAAAAGAGGACTCTATGCATGCCAGGGAGCAGGGGATGGGGAGGAAAGAAGTGCTTTTTTCCCCCCATTTTGATCACATTTAACTCTATTTACATTTCCACAGCTGGGTTTGAGTAATGTTCACCTCCTTGTTTGTGACGGAGGGCAGGTTTCACAGTCTCAGATTTCTTTTCCACAACAAAAAGATCAAAGTTTGAGCCCCTTGTGCAACTTAGGTGTTTACAGTGAACAGTGCTAATCGAACGGCAAGCCCTCCCTCCCGTTATCAGTCTCACACTGAGCCAAGCTCCTTCATTCCATATGCACCAGGAAGGACTGAGAGAAGAGAGCCCACGTCTGGCATGGATTATAACCCACCATCCCTTTTGCCTGCTCTTACACAGGAACTAAAATACAGCCTGCTAGGGGAGGGTTTAACACATTCAAGTAAAGGCTTGTTCAGGGTCTTTTCTGCAGGGCTGACGAGCTGTTTCCAGGACGTATTTTTAAAGAGGCTTTCTAAAAAGCAAGTAAGTGCTGTGTGAAGAACCACAGTGAAAGAGAAGGATCCCTTCACTCACCTTCTCAATACTGCCTAGGCTCACAGTGTGTCTCATTGCCAAAGGAAACCTGTGCTCTCTTTGCAAAAGTTACTGGAGAAGGAAAGATAAAAGAAATACAGCAAGGATACACAAACTTTCTGGGTCTGTTTTGTAAGCTATGAAATGGAGCTAAATTTTAGGGGTTTGTGAATTGCTTTAATTAATAATTGCCAAGCACACGTCTTCAGATGGAAGGTATCATATAAATATTAATGAGCTGACTACTGTCTCTTAGGAATCGTAAGCACCATGGATGGATCAAAGAGGACATGTAGCTCTAAGAGACAGAGTGGTGGGAGTTGGCTCTGTGTTTAACTATAGTTTAAAGTAGATCCTCAAGACTGTTGTGGATATTCCCTATCAAGTTACAGCAGCTTTCAATTAAAATTACATTTTATCCTTAGGCAAAATTCCACAGTGTACCTTTTAATATTAGCAGAGCACATTTTCACTCATGTAGATATTTCTTCTACACACATGCATTACTAGAGCTTTGTAAACAGGGGTCAAACCAACTGGGAAATAGGGATTTTACCTTCATTTTCATCTAAACAAATACCCCTTACCTAGTTACATTACCGAAAAACTTCCTGCTCTGCTGACGATGCCGTGACAAGAAGCAGGAGGAGGACGTGGCAGCTGTTTGCTTCACAGTGTTCATAGATCAGTCTGGCAACACTTCAGACATGGAGCTGTCCTTGGAATGAATATGGCAGAAAGTGCCACATGGCAAAGATGCTGCTTCTGCTCTCCTGAGCAGTCACCTCCCGAGCCCGAGCAGCACAGAACACAGCTAAGGACAGGCTCGGGAGAGCTCCGAGCCCCTGCCTGGGCTCCGGGTGGGTGTGTTGGTGCAGTGGGCCAGGCGGCATTGCAGCATGGAGCCGGCTGCCCTGCTGGGCAGGCACGCTGGGGAGCAGGCTTGCAGCCTCCTCTGGAATGCGGGATGGCCGCAGGCCTCTGGAGTGTTTTCCAAGGAGGTGCTTACATTTGTTTCTCTAAGGGTCTAGTAAAACTGCGGGGTTTTGTTGTTGGGGGTGGTAGCAGGGAATGAGGAAGAGTTGCTTTGTTGTTTCTTGAAAAACCCAAAACATCGGAAGACAACAGGGAGCGGGGACCAAAGGTCTTTCTTTCCCTGAGGAAAATTCAGTCTCATCAGCTGCCTTCTTACCTCTCTCAAGCTGTAAGACCCCGTGGCCAGCTTTCTGCCCACGTCTCAAGGGACAAGGCTTTCTAGATGCTTTGGGAGCCTGACACATGGCCAGCCAGGCCATTTTCAGTGACTTGCTTCCTTCATGAGGGCTGCACTTCATTTCCTCAACAGTCACACCGATGGCCCTCCGTCCTGCTCACCTCAGGCATGTCCCCATAAGCTCTGCTCTCTGCAGTTGCTGCTAAGGCAGTGCTGGAGCTGCCTCTGGTCTTCTCTACACTGGGGCAACTGGGGCTGATTGCTTAGTGCTGGCAGCAAGAACAAAACTCAGATGGCATAGGCGCACACTCGGGGTGGTTGTAATTGTGTCCCTGAGCTGCACAGAGGGAGTACAGCAAAGAGATGGTGTTAAGAATCCTTACCACTTTATTGGCAAAAGAGGGAGGAATCTGGAAGATGCTCAGGACAGACAGCATCTTGACAGCTAGGAAAAAGAAGCCCCAGAAATTAATCTCCTGGGGTGCCAATGAAAGATGGAATGTTCACAACATATGAGTTGTGGCCAAAACAATGGTCTAATTAACTTGGCTCTGCTTGCTGTGTTCAATGCTAAAAGATGAGACAGAAAACATAACTGTGTTTTGATAATAAAATAAATGTGGCCACAGTGCCAACAATTTTTAGGCAAGGAACCATGAATCCAAACCAGAGGGATGGGAGGTGAATTTCTTCCCCTAGCCACACCAGGGAATTTTACCCCTTACTATGAATAATGTTTTTACAGCAAACCCAGGCACCAGTCCTAGCAAATACCTCTCTGTAAACTGTAGCCCAAACGAATCACTTTGGAAAAGGTCATACCACCTCCTGTTCCCAGAATTAAGTTAATTAGCACTTGTCCCTCTCTGTATAAGGTCAGGGATCCTCCCACAAAGAAGGTACACAACCAGATTGTTAAAAGATGTACATATGCTGTCTTAAGCAAACAGGCTTCTTTGTAGTACCACTAAGATTCCCTCTGGCCATCCCTGTAGAAGAACTCTCAATTGGAAGGGAAGCAGACCAGGAGATTAGCGTAACCAGTGCTTTGCCAGGTACCAGGAGCACAGTACAGGTCAATAGGCATGCTGGTGGTTTCGTGTTAGCTAGCTATCTCTCTCCATCTGGGTGACTTTTATCAGGTTCAGCACCAGCCTGTCATGCAGAATGAAATATTTAACCTATGGAAATGTTTTCTTATTGAATTTGAAATATTTGCAGTGCTTTTTCCCCTCTTGACACACTTTGTTTCCTCTTACTCCATCCAGGCATTTGGGCTATATATACTGAAGTACTTCACTTCTCCTCCATGTGACTAGCTACGTGCGCTGTGAGAAAGTAAATCCAGGTAAGACCTGCTATCAGTTATATCTTGGTGCAACTGAAGTTTGATCAGCAATGAAGGTCAGCATGCTGGTCTGTATTTTTTGTCCACAAAAAAGTTACACAGTTCATTTACGGAAAGAACGAAAAAAATAGCCAAGCCCATGAGGTTCTTGGGCACAGAATCATTGTCACAAGTTGCTTGCCACAGTACTTACATAAAACAGGTGTTTAAAAACAGAAACCAAACCCAAGCGTTTAATTACAGATATGTCCATCCTCATCTAAGTCTTAACATAGCATAAGCTATGTAGGATGCTAAACCCTACTTCTTAATCTAGGAGCCTTTCTGACAGCCAGCCTTAACTGCTTCTCCTGAGCACTGCCTCAGACCTGCTGAGACAGAAAGGTTTACACAAAGGAGGACAGGCCCTGGTTGCCCAGACGGGACACTGCTTTGCAAGACCATAGAAAAGGGTCCTGAGCCTATTTGTGTCAACTCCCTAACCACAAACCACAGCTAGCCCTCCCTCTGAAGCACGTGCTTGCTGCTCCTTGCAGGGCTGGAGCAAGATATTTTGGCATCCAGATCACCGCCTTTGGGGGCCCACCCATCCCTTTTGGTCTCTTTCCATTCCTTATCACAGACCTGCAGACCCTCTCCCTGGGCAGCACCAGAAACTGGAGCATATTTGCCTCGACGTTTGGCACCCTTCTGTTTCAACATCACCCTGTGCTTCTGACCCAGAGAGCAGCTTACCCACCCAGCTGGACTCTCTGATAGTGAGAGTGGGGTGATATGTAGAGAATCACATGTAAGCAATGTGAAACTGGCAACTCTGGCATTTGAAATAGAATGGGAATTCAGGATGCACTTGGCATTTCAGCTTTAAACTTCAAAATAAACAAGGCAAAACTGACCTGTAGCAAAGGAACTGCTTATGGGCAGCTCAGACTTGTCCTGGGCTTTCAAGCCAGTCATTTCCCATAAATACTCATAATTTTAAATAAAGAAAGGGAGAGAGCAGACAAAACAAACTGAGTCAACCACTTACTGCCTTTCTGATTCAGAGTCCTCAGCAGATGTAAGACAGAAATTATTCTATGAAAAAGATCCTTTTTATGTATCTGGGACAGCCCCCAAAATTTTCACCAGAGGGGAAGAAGAGGACAAGAACTAAACTGCGAACTTGTCCGCACCCTAGCAGGAATTCACCCATTTTTCACCTCCCACAGGTATCATTAGCATGCTACTGAGAGCAGAAAAAAAAAGCAGCTAAGATCAAACACAAGCTAGTAACAAAGCTCTTCCTCTTGTCATCCTGCAGTGGGCCTGAATTTCTGGCTGCAGCTAGCCTTTTCCTGAAAGGCTGGGTTAGTTCAGAGTCCCTTTTGAAAGAAGTGCCACACCATGAACGTGCTACAGCTGCGACACAGAAAGCGCAGAAGGCAGGAAGTCTGACGTTCACACCAACCTCAGCCCCTTCACTCACACCTCTTTTCAAATAGCTTTAGCACATGGAGCCCACATTTTCACATTCTCAGAACTAGCTTTATCTATCACTCTGCAAGTTTAAGAGAATTTCTGAAATGGTACAAGTCTCCCTTTGCACATTCAAAAACTCACTCCACTGAGAGAAACTTTGCAATTGTTTTTATAAACTCTTCTCCTCTCTGATTCTTGTTGCCTCACTCCATTTAAAATAATATTATCTAATTAAAAGAAAACTAGAATACAGATTGAAACACCATACCGACTGGTGTCACAGTCCAAAAATGTCCGGATTTTCAAACTTAAGTCCACCCCTGTGGCCCCCTGTGTAAAAGGGGCCACACACATGTAGGTGTCAATCAGGCTTGGTGGCAAAACAGAGGGACCCAGGCTGAGATTTCAGAATGGCACAGACTTCCCTGGACAGAAAGAAAATGCCAGTCCTCACCCATCTGGAATGATTTCTGCATTTTTCATTGCAGGCTTTTGGAATTTGACCTCAAGAAGCCAGGTGCTTGATTTCTGCATCTCCTGCTTTGCTGTTTTTGATGACAGAAACAGGAAGAGAGGGAAATAAAGAAAAAGAGAGGAAGAGAGGGAAATAAAGAAAAATGTATTATTTACAAGGCTACACCATAATTATACCTAATGTTACCATTGTGACTGTTTTTGCAGGCAACTCAAAAGGTCTTTTCTGTGCCCAGAAATTCTATAGCTGATCTGGTACATTTTTACTCCATTCATTTAAAGAAAAATAACTCCATTCTCCTCCTCTCATCACCAGCCTTAAAATAAAATAAAATAATACTCTAAATATTTGTGGGAAATGGCAGACAAATGGGTAGTAAAGCTTGCAGATTGCCTGGCAGCAGAAAGCCACAAGCAGAAATTAGCTGTGGCAAGTAACTGAGGGCAACAAATCCCAGCATTGTCCAGCATTTGGACACACTGCAGAAGACTGATGATTTGAGTGGAGAGAGCCAGCCTCCCATGATCCTGCAAGGTCTCAAATACTATTTTGAATTAGGTAAACTAATATCTCCTGTACCTGTACCAAACCACACAGCAATACATGGGCTCTGTGTTTACAAAGTCTGCTGGCAGCCGTCCTGGAAGTAGCATCTATCTTGGAGAAGATCTTGTATTTTCTCTTGGTCTCTGGAAAACAATCCCAAACAAGTGGCAGGGACACAGTTTTGGAAGCCTCTGCATGTTTATCTTTACTGATAAGCCTGCAGTCTTTGCTGCAAGCACATCAGCATGTGTGTGCAGCAAGACCTTATTCCAGTCCATGCCCTCCTCAGACCAGGCTTCATCAGAACTAGGCAATGCGTTTAACTCCTTAGTGGCCAATCTAAAGAGGCCTTGGTGTAGAAGACTTCTTTTTCCTGCTCAAAGATGCATCATGTCTTCATATACCTTTGACAAACAAGCAAGTACACCAGCCCTGCTTTGAGACAGCAGCACTGCAGATTATACACCTACACTGACACAGTCAGGGGAATTTACCCTAAGAGAGTTCCATCTCCCCAAACAGCTTCTGGTTCTGTGCTGATCAGAACTATTGTCTATTTGAAATAAAGGCATGCAGCAATCTAAGTCGTGGGCTGAACATAGGAAAATTCATTAAGAGGACTTGTTGAAATTATTCTGTCTGACTGATTGGAGATTGTCAGTAGGAGCTTTCTGGATATGTAGAACCGGAGGATCAACCTTCATTCCAAGACATCCAGTCCTTCTCTAGTAGCTTAACTAAACCTGTTCATGCAGCTTTGTTAATACTTGAATTCTCAGTTCACACACAAACATGCATGCCAAGGGCAAATACCCAGAAAGGCACTAGGGATCTCCCAAAGCTGACATGCCAAGGGCTTGGACAGCCTGAAAATTACAAACAAGTGGCTTTTTTCTGACAGCAGGTTCCATTTATTTCCTCCCACTTGCTCTTTCCTCATCTCCTTCCTACACCCCTGAGTCAACCTTCACCAGGCGAGTTTCAGTTAAGCATGTGCTTTGCCAGAGGTGATTTTAAATTATGTTTTTCAAAGTTTATTTATAATACACACGCACAGTGCATGATGCTTTCAGGGCTTCCGGAGACTTCAGCGTGTTAGGCATGACTTTGCCAGGTGGAAGGAGCACCAATTCATCAGCTGACCCATACAAAAACACCTCCCCTGTGTACTCCAAACTCAAAGTTGGAGTGAAAGGAGCTAATTTTTGCTCTGTTATCTCCTACCTAATATTCATAATTTCCATGATCAACCTAATGGAAATTCCAATTGCAAAATTTTGGAGGAAGCCAGCTGATCCCCCCAGCTGATCTTGTAGCAAAACCAGCAGCCCATGAGACAATGCAGTGGTTCTCCCAGCAACTTCCCACTAGGCCAAGAGCTGGGAAACAATGAACTGAACTGGGTGAAACTAGAGTCAAAATTCACATGGTCCAGCACTCCCTGCATCTGGCAGGCAGCAAGTTTCATTAAGCCATGTTTGTCCTAAATGGGTATATTTGACCTGTTTCTACTTTCATCAGAAAAGTATAACATGACCACAAGATCATTTCCAAGCAGAAGAGCACATACTTCCAGGAGTGAATCTCTGAGCTCAAGTTCCAGCCCTAAAAGATGGTTTGGCTTTCCCATCTATATGCATACAAGTCAAGTTTTACTGCACAAAGCTTTGCAGATCCCACATTCTGCTTCCTGCTCTGTACCTGGCCTGGGCAATAAACATTACTGGACGGGCCTTTCAAATGAAAGGTATGTTCATGGCTGATTTTTGGATGGGTTTAACATCCCCTGTTCTGAAATGATGCAAGTTGCTGAAATATTGCCTCCTCAGCTGCAGAGCAAATAAAAACAGAGTAAGTTACTCAGACTAATGGCTCAGAAACCTCAATATTAGGACGTGGCACAGAGGCGTTCTGAGAGGAGAAGAAAAGGATGTGGTAGACAATTTGCTAATGGCCAGAAAGTCTCTCTGAAAAAGCTAGCTGTGTGCCAGAATGCCTCAGGACAGGGCTGAGTCCACTGCTCCTTCCACAACAGCAGCTCTTTCTAAATAAAGAGGTCTTTACACGCAGGACTTGGGAAACTTAATTCAGATTAACTAAAGTTGTGAATTTAAAGTAATTTAGCTAAACCACATTATATCTCTGTACAGACACATTCATTGAGTATTCAAAAGAACTTTAATTTGGTTTATCTTTTACTGAATTACGAGCATTTTCATTCTAAGAATGCCCATGCAGGGATTAGTGGGTTGAACAAAGGATGAAGTTACATGCCAGGCTGGAGTCGAATGTGGTATAGGAAGTCTCCCCACTTCTATGCTAAAGAGCATTCATTTTCCACCCCACCCCCCGTTAAAAATAAGATAAATAAAATTATAAGTTCATTTTTTTTATAATTATCCATGCCTACAAATCTCAAGCTGCATTAAAAAATCTGCCTCTGGCTCTGCATTTGCCTTTTGTTTCAATCTACCAGAACATACGTTTTCTTTAAGACTCAGAAAGAAAAAGGACATTGATATCATAGAAAAAGGGAAAAGCCAACAGCTCCTAAGAAACATTCATGGCATTATTTCACACACAGAAAAGACAGGCACTAGATCCCAGCCACAGCCGTGCAACAGTCTGCCTATGGACCTGGATCTAGATTTGGCCTCCACCATTTCCATGAGCTATTGATCTGACCACCTAACACAGAGAATAGATCTCAAGGTTTAGAAGTGAGATTGTGGAGCTGTTTTTAAGTAACTAGTTATGTTTCCAGCTTACCGATTCAGTACAGACCTCTTACAGCTTCATCAAGGGTCATACAACACCGTAACTCACCTAGCTGCATGGACACAACATTTTTTCATCAAAAGAGCTCAGCAAAAATTATTTCACAGAGGAGAAATGGCAACTAATGAGGTGTTTCTATCTGCTGTTCAGGAAAAGAGACTTAACATCTCCTCTCTGCTTCAGTTGATTGCTGGGAGAAGCTGTGGCAAATCAGAACCACAGACCACCAAAGTCCAGCTAGAACAAGGGAGACTGACAACCGCTTGAAGTGAGAGGGGTCCGGTAGCTGTGGTTCCTAAACAGAACCCAAAAGACCTCCATATGCACACACCCACACCCCCCCTGCTACTCTCCATGCTACCCCTTTCTGAGTAGGAGAGGAAGGGAAATAAGACTACAGAATTTTTCTTATAGACATTAAGTAAACAATGCTGTGTCTCCAATGCAGTCTTCCACAAGAAGGAAATCCAACTTCACAAGCAAGTCAAGACTGTCAAACAGGAGACAGATGAAAGCATTGCCTCAGAATGTAAGGAAATCCCAGGCTGGGTGGTTGGGAAAGAATTAGCAATACGTAGTTTTAAAAAAAGCACTCTCCCCTTCCTCATCTCTGAGGTGAACACAGGTCCTGCATAATACTGATTTCTACATCAGCACCAGAGAATGAGACAATCGCTTGAGGTCTTTCTCATTTATAGCCAGGCCTCTCTCCCTCTTGCTTTCAGTTGCTGGAGGCTATCCCACACCAGTTACCAGCAGTGTTCCTATGCTGCAGGACATGCTGTTCATATATGCAACTTGCAATGAAAGATTTAGCCAATGGAGAACACCAGGAGGGAGGGAATTAGATAGTAGTTATTATCTTGCCTCGCAATAGATGTTCAGTGGTCCCTTACTTGTGACCCTGATTGAGCGCCAGTGGAGCCAGCCCACCTGCTCTTGTGTGCAGAAGGAACAAGGGAAGAGCTCACATCACACTTCACTGAACAGAGTAAATCCAGTCATTTCGTAATACCACCAGGAACACAGTCTGTCAGGATCTTCTCCAGGCAGAGCTACTGGAAGACCAGGAACATGTCTTATATTCATCAGGCCTAAACCACAGGGAAGACATGCGATACAGCATGAAGCCATGTACAGCACAGACTTCTGTACAGGTAGAGGTAGAAGGGACTAAGAGTAGAGGACAGAGGTATGCAAAATGCAGCCCTACAAGAAAAGCACACAGGCAAACACAGTTTATGCCTTTGGCACAAGACACAGGAGCTGCTCTTACAACACGCAACCGAGAAAAGCCAACAGTCAAAACTAGCAAATAAAATAAGCAGGAAATGTGAATGACAGCTGCCCAGAGTGACTGATTGTCTACAGGCAAACATATCAGCAACACTATGGAGCAGTATCACATCTTGTTATCCCTGTCCCTGCAAAAGATCAAGACTGGGGACCACTCTAATACAGTGCACAGTGGTGGAGTTCCTTGGTCCCCAGTTCAGGAAGTAAACAGCCAGCAAGAGTAGTTTAAACTCAAGTATGTTGTATATGATAGAGAATACCCAGCTACACAGAACACTTATGTGAAGGCCAGAAACTTTCGCCTTAGGGCATAAGCCAACCACTAACTTCCTCCATGGGCAAGTTACTCCATAGTTGTTTGTTTTAGGAGTTCTTGTACCTTTCCCTCAAGCATCTGGTGTTTGCCTCTCTTGGAGAAAGGATGCCAGACTAGACAGACAGATCATGGCTTCTTTCTGGTATGGCAATTACTGCATTCCACCCTGGAAGGGGGAGAGCACACTGGGGAAAGCAAGGAATGTTAGATGGCAAGTTCCAATAACACACGGCCCCATTAAATAGCCTTCCCTCTCCATCTGGCCCTGCACAATCATGCCAGCAGCACACCAGGAGCACACAGCAGCACAGCTTGGCCCTTTGCATTCGCAAAGAGTTCTGGGTTACACTGCAGAATTTGGGAACAAAGCAAAGCAGGGCTCAGCTCTTGCCCTGGGAGTCCTCACACATGCAAGAAGATGTTCCCATGCAAGTTTGTTACAAAACCAAGGCACAGAGCAGAACTGCGGTCTGTAGCCCAGGTTCATACAAAATGCAGCATTAATAAATCAATCAGTCAATCAAAACAGATCTCATGAGACACAGAGGCCCCTCAGCATCAGGCTAAATTATCCATTGTCCTGTAGGATTTGTGCCTCTACAGCTAAAAATGACAAAACACAACCAAGTTTACCTACAAAACCAATTCCCTACAACCTTTGAGTAAGTCAACCCACTTGCAGCAGAATAGTAAACACCTCTATCAGTCTGGGCACCAGGGGCTTGGGGTAGCATTTATACTTGAAATGTGCATTTGGCAAGGCCTCTTTCTTCCTTCTCTGGAGCCAGAAGGCTCCCAAGCTCCCCAAGACAACTGTAATCCGGGTAAACTTAGACCTGCCTTTCTACCTAAAAATTCTTCTCTCTGTTGACGTTGGCTCTGGGCCAGTTTAGCCTTCAATTCCAGGTCTCCCGATCTGTGTCAGCAGAAATGGCTTGTAGATATCTGCCCAGATTAGCTGCCCAGACACTATCTCACTTGTGACCTGCTTCACAGATACCCTTCTTGAAGGCAGCTGCTGCTGCTGCTGCCTTTATCCACTGGAGCCCTCATTTCCTTACTGCCCATCTGCTGCAGGGGAGGCAGAGCCACACAAATAACTGACAGGGAAGATGTAGCCACGCCAAACAATAAAAGCCAGGAAATCCAAAGCCTACACCTACCTAGTGAATTTGTGCCAGTTTTTAAAAGCAAGAGAATGTGGATAAGCAAACATAGATACAGCTGAATGACTTATCTCAGTTTAGACAAGCGATATCTAAATAATGCTGTTTAACTTATTACTGTAACAAATATGAGAATTGATTTAATAACCTAATGTTAGTTTTGGACAGTAGAGGTCTGCATCAATGGACCAATACACTAATTATGTTATCTTATCAAGTCAGTGCATAATAATAGAATTTCGCTATGCATTGATGGAACTAGGCTTAGCTCTGCATCAGAAAATAATCCCCAAAAGACAAAGAATAAGATAATATTTAGGAGGAACTCCTTGTTACTGGGTGCATAGTCATTATTTTCTTTTCATTTCAAAATATTATATATAAAGTATGATCTATAAGGTGGGTGTTGCATGACAAAAAATTGCTTCTGATAATCTTTTATCACTTGTTATTTAACCTGCCTCTATCGCTGAGATGTAGGCAATATAATTCTCCAAAAGACTTAAGTAAAAACTAAAGAACTACTGGTGCATATGCAGATCCATTCATTGTAAGCTGACAATACAGCTTTTTCCATCAAGGTACAAGCAAAATGACTTGCTGACATTAACTGGCAAGTACTTTGCATTCATATGGTATCTTTCATCTACAGACTTCAAAGCATCTGACAGGAGGCAGGCAGGCCTTGTTTCTTCATCGGTCCAAGAAAGAAGCTGAAGCACAGAGTGGCAAGGTCTCCCAGAGAAGGTAAAACCATTAGCAGAAATCTAAATGATCCGGTTTGCAGTCCTTCAAAATGAACTGTTTTGCTCCCAGTACAAATTACACGTGCACCAGAGAGCAGAACCTCCACTCACCCACACCCCTCTGAGAACTGCTGGGATTCTTTAAGAATTTAAATTTCATTCATGAGAAACTAAACAAACACAGAACACAAGAGTACTCTTCTAAACAGGGAAACGATGGGGATCTGAAACCAATCCAGACCTGAAGTTCTGTAGTGCTCCGAGGAGGAGCACTCCTTGACTGAACCTGCAGAAGCACAGGTCTTCATTCATGAGGAGGGGAAGGGAAATCCTGGTACATAATCTAGCAAGTGTTTAAATAAGCCTGTTCAGATGAAGATCTCTCCTCTCCAGAGAAAAACCAGGGCTGTAAGAAAGGTTATGGAAATAATTTTTTAAAATGCCATTTAAAGAGAGTAAGCCTTTTCAGCTGTTCCAGCTCTTCACCTTATTCTTATAACTGAAGCAATGCTGACTGCCTGAGGCACTCAGATGGGAAAAAAATCCCTGCACAGTGTTCTTCTTTTAAAAGAAGTGTATGATTCCTGTAAGATTAAAAACAGCAAACAAAAAACGATGCTGAGGCAACCTCTGGAGCAAGCAGTCTTCTGGCGTTGGTCAAGGAGCCTGCAATAGACATATTTAAAAATGCACTCTCTGGTTATGAGATCTCTCGTGGCCTGTGCAGGCAGACAATATTAGAGGCCACTAAATCCTGAAGTTTATTTTTCTTAAAGTTTTCACTTCAAATAAAGCTTTGTTTTAAAATGTATGGGGCCAACTGTTAGAGCATTGAGGTCCTGGTTATTAGCCAGCTAGAGCCCATGAATTATGTTTAGTGAGAAGTTTATTGGCTCAGTAAACACCATTCCAATTCCCTCACCCCTGAACTGTGGAAGCCAAACCAAGAGATATTCAATGCCATGTTACCACTAGCACCAAAGCAACTATTATCTGATTACAGGCGTTTTATTTTTTGTAAGGAATTTGCTATTGCATCGTTTCATACATGTAAGTCTTTAAATCTACCAAGGCAACACACAAAGAGTAAGTAACTGTTGAAGTAACTGGTCCTGTTTACCATCTTCGGGAGCAGGAATATTTGTTTCCATCTTGTAGCTTTCTGACTGCAAGCACTACAGAAATGCAATCCCTCAAACTCTTAGTAAGGCAGGAGTCTGGCAAGGAGTTTGAAACACAAGCAAGATTAGAGTGGGCAACCACAAGAGCGTTCTGATAAAACCATCCTATGGAGCCAGGGCAGAGTACAGGGCTGTAAGAAGTTGCGTTTGTTTCTTCTTACTGCCACTTTGTCCCAAGGAGACTCATAAAAACAGGGCCCATTCTGTGTTCTGAGACTAGGTGGCCAGAGGTCAGACTTAGATGTTGCTCTTTTTAAGTTACGCAGTCAAGAACAACTTACACAATTCTGACTTAATAGCAGAGCTGGCTACAGCTCAGACACAGTCCAGGTAAGATGCATTCAACATGGAGCTAGGGCAGACTGATGTGGTATTAGCACTGTCTAGCCTTACACCCATCTGTGCACAGCATCAGGAACCCAGAGACCAAAAGCCAAGGTAGGCATCTCCAGACTGACACATTAGCTGTGTAAATCCAGAAGCAACTTCTACTTGTGTGGCTGGCTTTCTCCTGGGCATAATGCTGTTTTATCTGGTTACCTTTCACTACCATGAGCTAAAGCCTCACATACAGAGAGTATATGATCAGTCAGTGTGCAGTAACTTGTTTGCGTGCTTGTTGTTCCAGTTTTCCGGAATAGCTACAATATACCAGAAGACTTTATGGGGACTGTGTCAGTCCTTGAGGCAAGGAAAGTTAATTTAGTTGGAAGAGTAAGGATGCAAAGAAGAGTGCTATAATAACAGCAGTCAGTTTTGGTAGCAAAGTAAACTTGAAGAAATTTAGGTTCTCCTCCTAGTTTCCTCCATCTGTCACACCATCTTGGCTGAATAATACTTCTCTTCGTGTCTCTGCTTCCTTTCTCGCCTTCTGCCTTGTCCATTTAGACTATGACTTTCTTCAGGGAAGAGACTGGGCTTGTACAGTACCCAGTGAGAACCTTAGGGCTCTGCGATCCTTCAGCCAAACAGTGCTTTTATATAAAAATTTTGCTATAGACCAATTTACATAACACCAACTATGAAATCTCATATTCTCATGTAACTGCTTTTTTCTGATGTCCTGAGAATTACAGTACCAGAATCTGCCCATATGACAAGAAAGAACCTTGGCAGTACAGATCCTTAATATCCAATCTGTCCCACAAGGACATGCCAAGGCCATATCATCACACCCATAGTCAAGCACCTCTAGGGAGCAAGCACAGTTAAAATCTTTCCACCCCAGTAGTGGTGAAAGACAAGATACCCTTCTCTTTAAACTTAACCCTCTCCCTTCCAAAGAATGCCTGGAATTTCTACTATTTCCCAGCAGAGAGTGGAAGGCAAAGACTTGGCATGGGGCAAGACAGATAAGAGCAGTTGCCTTCTCTGGCTAGGTTTTGTTAACTCTGCATAATTGCTTAGGGCATGTGATGGTTAGAGGGAGACACATACATGTCTGTCAGAGACAGACTACAAATTACTAGTATAACTCCAAGCAAACAAGATCTAGTTTACAATGTGGCTGTGGTATATAAAACACCTCTGTAAAACTACAGTATAATTCAACTGCTGCAGGTTTAATTTACAAAGTAATGATACACTTTCCCCTCTCAAAGACTGCCACTTAGGATCCCTAAGATGTTGAATGAAGTCTCTGCTGTCTTCTGGGACACATGGTGAAGGCTGATTGTTGTTGGAAGCTTCTCTAAGCAAGCCACATTTAAATACCATGTTTTGCAAGAGGGCCCATACTGTGTCGCATGTGAATTCAAGTTCCTTTACCAGTTTAAAATCTGGGTCAGAGCAATTTGCTTACATTTGGAGTCCTTTTCTGAAATTAATGGTATGTGGGATTTAGAGTTGTAGATAAAAGACAACCGGATACTCTGCTGTTATATCTGTTCTGCATCATGCATGTACCATCTACAGTTTTCCTGCTAAGCATTGTTCACATGCACAGCCCACTTCTTCAGCAGTTGCACATTCAGCATACTAATGATATTATTCTTGGCCATCCTGTTAAACTCACAGTATAAGTTAAATGCACAGTAGGGGGGTCTGCTGGGTTCTCAACAGTTTTTAGATGGCTACAGATTATAGCTGGCCAAGGGTGGAAGTTTTGATAAGCAGTCATGAAGTTGAGAGCTCTTCTATTCAAATAGGATGTTGACTAGTGCTGACTCTATCTCTGTCACTTCTCTGGTGATAACTAGATTACCCAAATGTACTATGCTTAAGGCTACATCAGACCACTGTTTGGAAGCTCCAGTTAGTACTACATACAGCTGCCAAATCGCTTAGCTAGATTTCACACAGGGATCACACAGAACAACTGTGATGGCTGATGTTTATTTCACATTGCCATTCAAGGAGGTACTTTCGGATTACTAATACCTGTATGACTTGGGTGCTGGCTATTTCAGAGATTATTTATTTCGTTGTATCCTGACAGGCAATTGTTAGCTGGATCCTAGGATCCAGCACACAAGTTTAAACCTCTCCAGTCTGGAAATTTGGGTGGTATAGTATCTGCTCCGGAGTCCCACCCAGAGCTAAGATCCTGCCCAAATTTATTTTGGTGCTTCTTGAAAGAAGAAAGAAAGGAAGGAAATAAGAAAGAAGCCTAAAACCGCAACGCAAATTTGCAAGTTAAGCTTACTGACAGAACTGACCTGCAAAGTGCAAAACAGTAACAGAGAATGATGATATTCACACTTTCTCATAGTATTCCTCCGGGTACAGAATATCACATTTTCCTAATGCAAGCCACTCTGGAGTGACAATCAATGAAAGACATTAAGTATAATCAAAATATTTGGTTTAGGATAAAAATGTGGTTTCTACCTATGGGCTTGTAAAGGAAAACTCAGCAGAGTCTTACACTTCTTGTAGGTAAATTCTGAATTTTCATCCCCTTGTTCACAAGCCAGGCAGAATAAAAATATCCACCCACACTAAACCAAAGGGAGCCACTCGTAACCCAGACACAACCACAACAGACATTCTCCACAGTCCTTGGCTTAATAGAACACTGCCTTGTGGTTATACCCACCACTAGGATTTCACCTTGCAAGTTCTAGCACGTTTAATTTATTCCAGGTCATACATCAAATATAATATTGAAATTTAAGATGGCATGTGAGATTGAGGCTTTCTTTTGCAGTGCAAGTAGAAAGAGCACTGTTGGGATTGCTGGTGCATGAACATATTAATACATAAACACAAACCTGTAGCCATCACTCAAGAAAAACAATTGGTCTTTAAGAGGGAAAAAAGTTGTAAAAAGAATCAATTCCATTAAATAGCTCTATAAATCAATTCCACCAAAAATCAATGGGAAACTACATCCACAATGTGCCAAGTAACTCTACACATCAGGTGCAACTGTCCGTAACAGTGGCCATGTAGCAGGTCTGCCTGCTGGGGATTCAGACAGACGGGCTGGAGCAGGAACTGAATTGCCCATGCTGCCCTCCAGCTCCCTCCTGCAGTGCTTTCTGCCCCATGGGCTGCATAATGGGTCAACAACATCATTCACTTCCAAAGTTTGCATATCTGTGTGATGGAGCCAAAAATGGGAGCAGACTCCTACTCACAGGCTGTGGGCCCTTGCCTCCAGACACAGAAATGGGCAGTCCCTCCTAAAGACAGCAGAGGAGAACTCATGTTACTTGTTAGAGCCAGGCATCCGACATGCCCAGGTCTGAAACGAAGCATGGCTTTGGGATTTTCCAGCAAGCTTTATGCCACAGCAAGTGTCCCAAAGGGACACTTCCCCAAAGGGAAGCTGACTTAGACACAGACATGGGGAGGGTGATGGAGGAACATTCGGGAT